CAGAGTGATCTTGCTGTCCTTTTGGTGGGTTATGAAGTGTGCCCGTCGGTAGCCGGGAGGAGTGAGAGTGGAGGGGATTAATCTGGGTGCCGTGAGGGACGGAGCCTCTTTAGTCCAGGCCAACGGTGGGCATGTCAGAGAGGTTGGCGTTGACACCGCCGGTATACTGGCCGATGTTGAGGGTCGAGTCGTAGGCGATCATCTCAGCCAGGACATCCAGAACAGGCTGTCAATGGGTTAGTTCCATGTCGAGTCTTTGAAAGTCGGCGTGCTTCCTTACCTTGGGAACGGTCTTGTCGTAGATACCAATCAGGTCACCAGGCGTGGGGTAGACCTTCAGGCCCTTGTAGAACGCCAGCGCAGCCTCAACGGCGCGGGTAGCTATTGATTTAACTTGTCAGCAACCAAGTCCATTTGGAATACTCCAGAGTGTTTGCGCTCTTCCTCGAAGACGGGAGATCGGTGGAGGGGTGAACTAACGGTCTGCGGAAAGGGTCTCTCCCTCGGAAACCTGCTGCAAGAAAAAGGCTTCTCTGGACTCAACGTCGTCGGGGAAGCCCTCGGCCTTGGCATCGTCGACGGACTGCTTGATCGCTTGACGCTGGCGGACGGTCTCCAGCTGGGCCTCCTCCTTCTCGGCCTTGTGCTGTCTGCGCTCGTTTCGGCGCAGCTCTCTGCGGAATTCGGCCTTGTTGCGGCGGTTGTAGTCGAAGTAAACGGCGTAGGCTGTTTGGCAACAGTCAGCACAACAGCTTCCTCCTCGTCTATCCACGACCCCTCGTATGCCATCAAGATATCCAGTAATGATAGTCTGGCTGGCGCGCGGAGCTGGAGGCCAACTCACCAAACAGGCCGGTAACCGCGGCGGCGACCGATGCCGTCACTATCGTCGACGTCTGGGACATTTTGGGATACTCCGAAGGCGGGACAAACAAAGAAGGCAGGGCGATGCAGCGGGCGGGTGCTGAAGAGGGGTAGAGTGTATGCGAGAGGCGGCTGGAAAGTCGATGCTGCGCTCAGCGATTTTGTTGGATGATTCGCAGGACCAGAGAGGTTGGCGAGGGTTCTTTTCGTTGGCGGAGTGAATATCGAAAGAGAGAAGCTCTACCGGGAATCGATGGAGCTTCCGCTACCAATTTTTTTTAGCCTCTGCGCCATCGTTTGCCAGAGGTCGCGTTCCTTGCCAAGAGCCGCTGTGGGTGGTGGGTAGGAGGGCACGGACCAGGTGTACGTATCGAGACGACAGCTTGCCCGCACTTCCACTGAGAGATCCAATGGTGCTGCGCTGCTAAGTGGTTACGTAGCGGGATGGGTGCTGCCAGCGGCCCAAGTCCACTATCCCGTCCATCCAAATGAGCAGGGGTGCCGCCTCTCAAACGGCCACAGTACCGGCACGGCAGCTACCCATTCCTTGAGAGGTGCATGAAACAACAACGACCCGACCTTCATCCTCACGAGGGGTGCTTTTGTGCCCTTGAACACCTGCAATTCTTCGACGCACGGCAGACGTCGCTGGAATCGGCTGCTACCCGTACGAAATTGAACAAAGCAGTTACCCAACATGTCGGAAGATCGGGAGAGGAGCAAGATATCGCTGAGAAGCGGCAACAAGAGGAAAGGCCGCCCCCAGATTAGTGCTCCGCGTCAGATCTCGGAACCCATTCTGCAAGATGGATCTGGTCCGGTGCGGCAGCCCGGCTCGAGGCCGATGGCCGACGCTGGTCCTCCCCCGGTGCAGCCGCGACCTCGTCCGCCGCCGCAGGCTGGCGGCTCAAAGGTAAGCAAGACAACCAAGCGCCGAGCCGTCTTCCACGGTCAGGTGGAAGCATGCGATGCGACTCGATAGCAAGATGTAGGAGCTAACTCGAGGATGTACAGACCTCCGACTTGGTGAAGCGACGATACTCTACGAGATTTAACAACCTCCCGAATGACTTCGACGTGAATAACCCCCCGGTGCCGGCGATGCCATCCCTAGACAAGTACGAAACCCGCCAGCGAATGGCGCGACCACCACCCAGCCGAGGGGGCGATACGGCTCCCGCTCCTACTGTCGACGTCAAGGCCCTACGTGACCCCAACCTGGCTCCCGATCAATGTATGTCTTCGTGTTCGGTGTATTTCACTCGAGGTTGCTGACTTGGTATCCTATAGATGTCGCCAGTTTGCTCAGCGAAGCCTCCGAGGACCAGATCCGTGAGTTCGAAGACAACCTCCGAGGTCTCAAGAGTCGAGCCGGCGCAGATCTCCAACAAAATGTCATGCAAAATCGCACCCAGTTCATCAAAATCAGCAAAGAAGCCGAAAAGCTCAAGGGCGAGATGCGAGCGCTGAAGAACCTCATGACAGACCTCAAGGTTAATACAACAGCGCTGCGCCAAGCATCCAGCAACAATAACAATAATAGTAACAACGAGTCGTCGGGCCTCAACGGCGAGCTTTCCGCGGGCTTGAGCAAGAGAGACAAACGCAGCTCTGTCGCAGATCGGAGTGCGCTTTGGAACTCACAGATGCAGGCGCTTTACAAGAACGTTGAGGGATCGCAAAAGTTTTTGCCCAACTCTTCCACTCGTCACGTCATCCAGAATGCTGGAGCTTGGATCGAGCTGGACAACGCAACCTACAAGTCTCGTCGCGCGATGCAGATTTTCCTTCTCAACGACCACCTGCTGATTGCTAGTCGCAAGAAGAGGAAGGCAGATGTGCCTCCTCGTGAGGCAACTGGCCCACTTGTGAAGCTCGTGGCCGATAGGTGTTGGCCCCTGCTAGACGTTGAAGTGGTGGACATGGCGGGTTCGAGTGATTCTTCGACCACTCGCAACAAGCTAGCAGATGCCATCATGGTCAGGGGTGTTGGTCAAGAGTCGGTCATTTACCGGACAGAGAAGCCTGAGGACACGGAGAAGAACGGTCTGCTCCTGAACATCCGCAAGGCGGTGGAGAACCTGCGAAAGGAGCGACAGTCAGAATTGGAGGCCAACAACAAAGCCAAGGAGACGATCAACTATTTCGCATCTCGAGACCCCGGTTTGCTCCAGAAAACGGAGCTGTTGGAGACACTCTCCGATATCAAGGACATGCTCATTGACGTGGACGGAAAGCAGCAAAATCTCCGGTGGGTTGAAAGCCAAATGGACGAGCTGGATATCGATATCGCGCTGCAGAACTTTGAGCCTGCTGTAAGCCGTGTCGAGAAGCTCAAGAGCCTCGCTCGAAGCCTGAAGAACAACACGGTGGCGCAGGACTTCATCAGCTTCAAGGTTGAAGAGCGATGCTCCAAGCTGGCGGGCATGATCATTCGCGAATTGGAAACAACGCATAATGCGCCGACGAAGAACAAGCGCAACGTTACCTGGTTGGCCAGGCTAGGGTATGAGGACCGCGCTCGTGAGGCCTACCTAGTAGCCAGGCACGAGACCATCCAGAAGCGAATCAGGTAAGCAGGATTCTCAACGATTTCCAAACACAATCTGACCTTCAACAGACAAACGATATTCCAAGGAGACTTGCATCAATACATCTGGGAGGTCTCGTTCGTCTACTTTTCGCTCATCCGCAATACGGTGAGCTGCTTCCACTCATGCTTCCCACCGCCAATGATGAGCGCCTGTGTCAAGTGGGCCAAGGAAGAGGTCGAGTCGTTCAACGCCATCCTCGGAAGGCAACTGAGCAGCACAGAGCGGGGTGGGGAGGCGTGGAACCAGTGCATGGAACGAGCACAGGAGCACGCAAAGATGCTCAGCGAAGTGCAGCTCGACTTCCGCAACCTGGTCGGCAAAGATCTGGTAGACCACGCGTCTGGGGTGGCTAGTCCCGTCGGGCTCGGTTTGTCCTAGATATCTGATTTGACGACGAGCGCCGGCTGGTCGAGGTGACGGCAAAGCATGCCATTGAGCCTGGTGATGGCTGGGATTGCGCTGATTTATGTCGATTGCCTCGCGTTGAAAATTGAGACGGGCGTTTGTTTATGGAGGAAGCATGTAAATGAGTGCAAGACATTGGAGTTACGGACTATGACGAAGATGCCGCAATCACTGGCATGTGTCAAGGTTCCAGACCACGCTTGGGGCTGACTCGGATCCCCTGGCTCGGGTCGCTGTGTTTACCTGCGACGGCGTTTGTGACTTGCGGGATGGATAACTTGTAAACCTGAACTGAACCGTCCAGGATCGCAAGGATCGCAAGTATTCTCATTACAATATAAGCAGTAATAGAGCATAAATGTATACTACGTGAAGGATTATCGCATGAGGCCTCTCGTGGCAGGCTCAAGAAAATTAGCAGTCGAATGGCTTGAGGCTTACTTGCCTCTGCATCGGATTTAAGCGAAGAGGCAGGCCATTTCCTCGTGCTGCAACCAGCAGCCGTGACAGCGCAGCGCAGCACGACACAGTAAGGTAGGTAAGGTACACCTCCGCGCAACAACCTAGGTAAGGTACATCCGATGCTGCGTTCCTCCCTCCCAGTCCCAATCACAGATCCCAAGCCCACGCACCAGCATCCGTACCGTACCCGCTCCCGCCTGCCTGTCTTCCTCGTCTGCACCTGCACCAGCACGAGCACAAGCACAAGCAGGAGCAGCACCACTTCCCAGCCCGTCTCCCACCTCGCAAAAATCCCCAGGTGCCGCCCAACCCAACATCGACGCCCTCCTCATCAAACTCCCATCAGAGAATTAGAATCCCGCTCCCGCCCCGCCCTGCGCGACAACATCCCCCGTCCATCCTCCCCTGCGCCGAACTCCATTTTGGCCCTCCCTATCTGGCCTCAGACGAAGCTCTGACCGCCTTCGACGATTCGCCGCCGCCAGCCCCACGCTACTGGATTGAGGTGCTGTGCTAATCTGAAAGACCGCGACCTGTTGCTGAAAACAACGTCATTCTCCCCTCGACACGAACGACCACGACACGACCGCCCTCGCCTTTCCCGCCATTTTGCTACTCGCGACCGATCGAAATACTTTAGTGACGAACTTTGCTACATCTTAGACGACTTTCAGCATGGATACGAACATGGAGGATGTTGGGCGTGTCCCCGCCGATCTGCCCTCTACCCAGAACCTTGAGCCCACCACAATCCCGACCCTAGATGGCTGGATTGAGAGCCTCATGAACTGCAAGCAGCTCGTCGAGGCCGACGTTCAGAGGCTTTGCGAGAAGGTCAGTCGCTATTCTCGCTGATGATGGACAGCCGCAATGCGCCTCTGCACCAGCTGTCGTCATAGCTGCCTGCGACTGAGCCTTTGTGCCCTCCCCTCATCTCCGAATAGCCCCTCGCGTGACCTCGCAGCGACAAATTTCTGACATTCATCAACAGGCGCGGGAAGTCTTGCAGGACGAGTCCAACGTGCAACCAGTCGTACGTCCTCCTCGCCCCCTTGGACATGGGCGATTCGAACTGACCCATCCTCCATCAGAAATGCCCAGTCACAGTGTGCGGTGATATCCACGGCCAATTTCACGATCTTATGGAGTTGTTCAAGATTGGCGGCCCTAACCCCGACACCAACTACCTTTTCATGGGTGCGTTGGGCCTGAAAAGACGCTCGTCTTGCCACGAGCAATTGCTTACGCTATTCGATAGGTGACTACGTCGACCGAGGCTACTACTCTGTCGAGACCGTGACTCTGCTCGTCGCCCTCAAGATCCGATACCCTCAGCGCATCACCATCCTCCGTGGCAATCACGAGTCCCGCCAGATCACCCAAGTCTACGGCTTCTACGACGAGTGCCTTCGGAAATACGGCAATGCCAACGTGTGGAAGTACTTTACCGACCTCTTCGACTACCTCCCCCTTACTGCCCTCATCGACAACCAAATCTTCTGCCTTCACGGCGGTTTGTCGCCCAGTATCGACACCCTGGACAACATCAGAGCTCTTGACAGAATTCAGGAGGTTCCCCACGAGGGCCCCATGTGCGACTTGCTTTGGTCTGACCCCGATGACCGCTGCGGCTGGGGAATCTCTCCCCGTGGCGCTGGCTACACCTTTGGCCAAGACATTTCCGAGGCTTTCAACCACAACAACGGCCTCACGCTTATTGCCCGTGCTCATCAGCTTGTCATGGAGGGTTACAACTGGTCGCAGGATAGGAACGTGGTGACTATCTTCTCGGGTAAGCTTCGCCAGGTCTTGTTTTGAGGCACGGCAACTGACACGCGCGCAGCACCCAACTATTGTTACAGATGCGGCAACCAGGCCGCGATCATGGAGATCGACGAACATCTCAAGTACACTTTGTAAGTACCAAAGAGGCCAGGATTTTAGAAGGATGCGAGCTGACCACGTAAAGCCTCCAATTCGATCCTTGCCCGAGAGCCGGCGAACCAATGGTCTCGAGACGCACACCCGACTACTTCCTCTGATCACGCATCCGATACCCTTACTACTCATTACCCGGAATCATCATTATCTGGGTGCTATCCGTGGAAGAGATTCGAAAGAGAGGGCGTGTGCATGCTCAACTTGCATTGGTGCTTGGGGGGAGTCTAATCTTGTAAGATTACAAACAAAAGCCAAAAGACCAATGTACTCCCAAGAGAGAGATTCTGCGTTGAGCATTAGATGGAGCGAGGGGTCTATGGGAACGAGCGCGAGCGCGGCCCCTCTCGACCGAGGAGGCTTCCCCTTGGACTCTCACTCTGTCAACGCGTTAGATACTCATAGACCGCCGGCAATAAGAAGGTGTCGATGCTAATGAAGTTTGATGTTCTATTCTTTTCTGTTCGAACTCATTCTATGCTCATGAACCGTTTCTGAGGTATGTCTTGGTCATTATCGTCATGTACAATGGGAATTACCAATGCCCGCAGGTGCCATCCGATCATTACAACTATGCGTCAACTACTGAAGGGGTATAACAAACTTGACTTCTTTTTCTTTCTCTCTGGCGACTGCTCTTCTCACTTTTTCCGATTCTTGCGGTGGCGGCTGTGTTTTCGTCCATGATGGTGGTGGTGATGGCGATGATGATGCCCGTCCCTCTTTCTCCTGCTCCGCCCCCGGGACCTCCTCTCCCACTCCCTGATCCTCTCCGCCATGATCTCCTCGCTTTCGCCGCTCCTCGTGTTCGTGTACGACTGCGAGCTGCTATCGTACGAACTGCTCCCGTGAGAGTCATATGAGCTGCCGTGGGAGCTGCGGAAGTACGCGCTCAGATACGACGAGTCCCGGCAGTCGTCGATCTCGCTCAGCCCGCGGATGACGCCGGACCGCTCGCTGCGGCGGGAGGTGTAGGTCGTGTAGCGCGCCTCCTCGATCTCCTCGACGCTGATGCGGTTCCGCCCGTGACGGCCGTGGCGGCGGGTGACGGTGAGGTTGCTCACGCGGTGGTACTTGTACTGGCCCTTGCGGTAGTCGCCGGGCTTGCAGGCGCTGTCGGGGACGTGGAAGCGCATGTCGAAGCGCATGAGGGCGTAGGTGAAGACGACGATGAGCTCGAGGTCGTAGTTGAAGACGTAATAGCAGGCCTTGTGGTGCCACCAGCCCGGGAAGAAGGCGGGGCGGACGGCGAAGTTGACGGCGCAGCGGTAGGCGGCGCCGATGGTGAGGAGGAAGGCGGTGGCGAGGACGAGGAGGGCCTTTGTGGAGAGGGAGCCGTAGCCGAAGGGCTCGGGGCGGCGGAGGCCTGGGTAGAGGAGGGCGCCGCCGACGATGAGTATGGGGGCGAAGGCGAGGACGGCGAGGGAGGTGGAGGAGAAGAGCTGGACGAGGTGGCACCTGTTGAGGTAGACGAGGTCGAGGGTGTAGAAGGATACGACGGTGGCGACGACGGCGCAGAGGAGGCATACGGCGATGTAGAAGTAGAGGAAGAGGAAGAAGTAGCCGACGAAGGGGTTCCAGCCGAGGTTGGGGTGGAGGCCGCGGAGGAGGCGGTGGGCGAAGAGGATGTTGAGGGCGAAGAGGAGGACAACGCCGGCGGCGGCGAAGATTGTGGCGGCGATGTCGAGCTTGACGTTCCAGGGCTGGGTGGCCCAGGCGATGCGGAGGGAGAGGGCGATGATGCGGGTGGTGCAGAAGCCGACGAGGACCGTGGAGGGGAAGAACTTGTGACCGGCGGCCTTGTTGCGGATGAAGATGAAGCCGTTGAGGGCCGCGGCGGCGAGGAAGAAGATGATGAGGATGATGCAGATGGGCACGTCGACGCGGACCGTTGGGATCAGGCCGAGGATCGCGACCTGCGGCTGGTACGGAGGGCCGAGGGGGTTCTGGGAAGGGTGTTGGATGTTAGTTGAGAGAGAACGGCGGAGGAAGACGCAAACAGGGTTTACGGACTTGGATTATCGGGTCGAAATCCGACATGATGTCGGATCTGATGTGAGGGGACCCTCCTGCAAGAAGATGGTGTGTCCTTTGAAGGTGAGGCTTTCAAGGTTATAAGTGACAAAGTTGGTGAGGCTGGGCTTGGCGCTTGGCTTCAATGACTGTGCTCACTCTGGGGAAGATGGCAGGCAGAGGAGCTGGAGCAGCCTTCCGGTTGACCTTGGCTGGAGTGAAGGCAGCATTCTGGAGGTTGGCTTTTGAGCGAGGGAGCGCCGGGGGGGTTGACAAGTTATCATTCGCAAGGGTGATTGACCAGGGGTTTGAGCAGAGAGGGCAGACAGTGGGAGAGGTTCGTCTGGTGTTTTGATGTTTACTAGCGTCGGCGTAGGATGCGTTGACTCTGGGTAGACGGCACGGACTTGGGAGATGGGGGGAAACAGAGGGAGAAGCACGCGAGGAAGTTTCAGCTGGAGGCGGGCGAAGAGGCGAAAGTTGGGAGTTTTGATGAATGGGCATTCTCTTTGGAATCTTGGTTTTTCGAGAACAATGGGTGATGGGCTTTGTGTGGAGGTGTGCGTCTCATAGATGGAATGGCATGATAAGATACACGAGATGGCATATTTTTGCCCCTCACAAATACCTGATTGGCTTTCATTGAATTGTGTCACGTTTCTCTACAATATTATGTATCTACTCGTTTGAATGGAGTTGCAAGCAGGCTTTTGTCAGGGTTGATGGACGAAACGAATGACGACACCTTGCGTCTCTGAGATGGAGAGACGACTAGTCATGATCTTGTGCAGGCTTTGGGAGATTTCCTGCCCATAGCCTCGGATCGCTCTGAACGGGGACGCAACGCTTCGCGCTCTGTGGTTGCGAGACACCCTCCCAAACGGCGGGAGGCAAATCCATGGGCAGACATCCCATCGCCGGGGTTTAAGTCTCTCTGTTTCCCCCACCCTGTCTCCAGGTCTGGAAACGCACCGCCACAATGGAGCTGCGCGCTGGTAGAAACTTGTTTCCCGTCTCCGTCATCTGGGACATTCAACGGTCGAGGTCCGCTGGACGTGCGCTGCTAACGGACATGCAAAGATGTCGATGGCGGGGTTGTCCAGGTCACGGACCTCGGTGGTTGGGGCAGAGGAGGATTCCATTGTGACGAGTAGTCATTGTGTAAGTAGGGCGCCCAACCATGCAAAATTGGGAGACCAAGAAATCGTGAAGGAAAAATTGATACTGCGTCGATTTCTGAAAACCAGACGTCGTCGAAGTTCGGGCGTTGAGCTGGGTGGAAGGCGCCAGGGTAAGAGAGCCTGCTTGAAGATCCGAAGTCCGTCGCCGACGATCCGGCTGTCGATCAAGAACACGGTTCTAGGTCCGGGGCCAATCATCTCTCCGGGCCTAAGGCCAGGTTCTCGGACGGTGCTCTAAGCGTGTAAGAAGACTCGTTTCTGCTCTTCCATGCTCGCTTAACATGGCGAAAGTCGAGCCACCGTTGAGCAACAACTCAACTTCCGGCTCTTGCATGTTTAGCTCGACAGGACGCGTATCGCGCTCCATTTCCTCGTACCCTTGCCGCTAGGTTCGGGCCCGAAGCATTTCAAATTCTGAGTTGGCCCACGTCAGCAGATCAAGACGGCAAAAACATCTCGCATTAGGCAGGTCGATATACGGCCAATCAGCGGGAAACGATGGGCATCATTCATCGAATGAGCAAGGTATATCCAACATGACTGGCTGCGTTGAACAGAAACAGAACGGGCGAGCCTTTTGGCCGGTCTTTGAAAATCCCCACGGCGAGGCTAAGTGTTCAGCAGAGCAACCCTTGCGCACCCTTTGTAACCTATGAAGCTTCTTCTCATGCAGGTTTTTGACGCAAAGCTGATATTGTGCATGTAAAGAAAAGAGTCGAATAGGTGTCCAGGCAATTCTCGAGCCAGGAGCTCGCGGCCTTGATAGATGCCGAAGAAAGCACTATTTCCTAGACCGTGATGAACGCGCTGGCCCGGACATTCCGTGTGCTGGTGAAGAGCGGCGACTAGCCAACAGCGCAGAAGGTCGGTTACATAGCTGCGAAACGTGGACTGTTGGCGGCAAGTTAGACGTAGCCCGGCATTCGATTTCAACATTGTATCCAGCATCATTAGTGCGATGGCCCTCGTTCTAGACTTCTGTTCGAGATTCAGACCCCGGTCGCAGGCTTTTAAACGTGGCGATCGAGAGAGAAACATTGTACAGGAAGCTCTGCTGGAGCTGACGTTCAGGCAGAAGCGCCACCACCAGCAGGCGCAACCGACACCACGATCTGGACGTGGTGCGAATTTCTTTCGATCGACGTTGCCACTAGGCTTGACACGAAGGGCTCCTGTCGCCATGGCCAATCTTCCACATTCATGTCAAGCCTGGAATTTCCGTCTTTGCCCTTGAAAGCACTTAGTCCGATGTGCTATCCTCGCTAAGGGCTGATGGGTATTAGCTTAGCAGTATCCAACAACAGCGCAAAGAAGATGAAACTTCTCGCTATCAAACCTTTATTTCGATTGTCCAGCAGCAAGTCTTGAAGTTACCGTTAAAGATGGCGACAAAGGAGTTACGTTGAAAAGGAGAGCCAATCAGGTGCAGGCATGAGGACCGCACCCAGCCGAGGGCAATTACCCCCGGAAACAAATTGGAGGCTGAATCATGCGCGTTTTCAATTCGCATAAAGTTACGAGCCCGTAATTTTTCGCCCACATTCTGTATACGCAACCTCATGATGGAACGTACTGCACTACCGAGCCGCTGCATGAATGACAATTCAACGGCGACGCCGCCTTCACGAAAGACTGTCTCTTCCCGCCGCTGTTTTTGAAAGGCCGCTCCACTCACAACTACCGAAGACTTCCGGCCGTTTTTGAACCCCGTTCTCTTGGTGGATATCTGTTTCTCGTGACTGAGTGTAGTGGGGCCGAGTAGCGAGTACATTTGGGATACAAGCAGCGGCTCCGGCGGCCGTTGAGCGTGGTAGTGGGGTGGGCAACGGTCTCAAGTGAGAAGCTCTTTGTTGTCGTCTTTGTTTAGATGGTGCGACTCCATGGTGAAGTAGAAGGAGGCGAACTTGCTC